CCTTCTAATCCAGAAGGAGAATTTGTAGATTATTATATGAGATCCAATGAATCTGATGCAATAGTGAATGCAGTTATACATCATATGAAGGACTATGAGACACTACATAAGAAAAAATTTTGGTTAATCAGTTAAATGTTAAGCTATTTGTTTTATTTTCGCTTAACCAATTTATTTAACTGAATGTATAATTCATATCTCCTTATGCATATTTCCTTATGGAGCGTTTGCATCTGTGTTTAAGCTGAGGTAATAACTTACAATTGTAATATAATCAAATCGCCGATCTATGTTTAGGAAATAAACTCGTTTAGGATGCAGTAACACTTTATGTTTATTTACATTGTTGACTCCATCATTGATTGAATCACTTTTGAAAGAACTTTATTCGGTATATAATTATGTTTTAACGGAAATAAAAGAGAAATTTTTTAATCAAGCTTCCGAAAACAAAATGAAATGATTATGATCACTGTTAATGAATAACTGTTTTCGCTTCAAATAGATTTTTACCTTTTGTAAATCCATTGTTACTCTACTTTGTAATAAGAGAAATGGATAGCTTGTAACTTAAAAAGATGAAATTACAGTCAAAATAATACCGAGAAACTAATAAATTTCAAGTCCAGCTGAGCTATTAATAAATTATGAGCCTTATTGAAGATAAATATCACCCAATCTTGAAAAATTCATGGGATAAGAATGATATGAAGGGAAAGACCGTAGAGACGCGAAAGCAAAAACAAGTAGATGAAACTGAAGCCTAGTCTTAAATGCCTGCCTATTTTGACATACATATATTTCTGTTCGACGAATTTCTATCGAACAGAGAAGATAAAAAAGGATGAAGAAAGAGAGAAGAGAAGAGGAAAAGATGAAAACAAAAGTGAGCTGAAAAAATGGAAAAGGCAAGAATCTCTCATCAACTTAGTTATCTTTTATTCCTTATAGTTCAGTTTTAAAAAGTGATTTTTTTTGGCATTGGTAAAGACTTAAGATCCTAACTTAGACATAAGATCGAATAACGGTTACTCTAGAAAATAAAACATGGCAGAAAGAGAAAAAAAAGAGAGAGTAAAGTTCGCAAATCACTAAGCCTGTGGAAACATTTTCAGGAAACTATCTCCTCCTATTTGATGCAATTCCAAGCAAACAATTTATTTTTTGCTTCCCAGCTCAAAGCAAAGTTGTACTTTGAAAAACTGAAACACTAACTTTGTTCCTCTCTCGCCCTTTCTCTGTCTCTTTTCCCTTTCCCTTTCTAATTGTCTCTCCCTTTTCGAGTAGAAATTTCTTCCTCCTTCTCATCCTCTTTTCCCACTTTCTATTTATCTGTCTATCTATGCCATCCAACCCCATGTTTCATGGTTCCTCTCCTATTCCTAGGTGTCCTACCGAATGGTGTTCGTTCCAATTCTATAGAGTAGATAGACTTTTCCCCCATTTGGTTTTTGCACCATAGTCTTGCCTGCGACACTCAAAGAGTATAACACACATTTACAGTGTTGTGGTTACTTCGTTGTCATCCATTAACGTTTTCAGCCTCTTTCTTTTCTCTCTTTTCCTTCTCTATCTTTGAGATCGTTTTTTGTTTTTCGATTTCTCGATTTCTTCTTGTTTCTCATCTCTTTCTATTTACTTCCTTGGTGTCTGTTTATCTCGAAACCAATTCTTTGATTGTTGTTTTGTATCCAATCAACTTTGATACAACAGTGTAACTCTTTCCATCAGTGATTCTTTGTTTGTTTCTTTTTGGTGATCGGTTTAATTGTTAAATTAAATTTTGTGTGATTCTCCAACGAACGGATAATTAAAGTACAACAATGGAAGCCATCAAGAAAAAGATGCAGGCCATGAGGGCCGAGAAAGAGCAGGCCGTTGAACGCGCTGAAGCAGCTGAGGCATCTGCTCGTGAAGCCAACACTAAAGCAGAGAAAGTAGGTTTGCTCAATAAACTTTTCACTTTCTATTAAAAACAAACTTACAATTTATGATTACCCGATGGATAATTGCCTGATTAATTGACCCTTTTTTTTCTTCTTCACTTGTTTTTCTGTCCATCGTTCGTCTTGGTCCATTAGGCTGAAGAAGAAGTTCGATCTCTGCAAAAGAAAATTCAACAGGTTGAGAATGAACTCGACGTAGTCCAAGAGCAACTTACCCAGGCCAATGCCAAGCTTGAGGAAAAGGACAAAGCTTTACAAAACGTAAGTCAACTTTCATTGTAAACTAAATTAATTTAGTTTTTTAGATTCAAAGCTATGTTCCTATCAAGTCTACAAAAATCAAGATTATTTTGAATCAAATTTTAAATCTTGAAATGGATAATCCATACATTCAATGAATCTATTTCTGGCTTTAATCAACTAAAGAAATGGATAATTTCATTTTTGCGTGAAATTTAAATTAAACCGTTATTCTAAGTTATTATGATTTAGATTTTATCTAAAAATGTCATTAACTTTGTGATTACCTGATTCAGATCGAATTGTTGAATCTAATTCGGGTAAAAACAGCAAATTAATTATTTAATCATCAAATTTTTAAAGGCCCGATGATTAAACTGCTTACTTCATTGGTATTTAACCAAAATAATCAGTAGTTTTAATCATTGGAAAGCCAAATTTTTCAATTCTGAAATAGCTTTGAATCATAATGATTCATTTTTGTAAAAGTATATTTAATTCATTGGTTTGAATCAATTTAATATCTATTGAAATTGAGTCAAGAATTGATATGATTTTCATTTTACAATTTTATTTACACAGTTTATGTCATCAATGATTTTATAAGCTAAATTAAAATAGATTATCAAGCGACAATTGCAATTTCACGCTGAAACGCAAAGATTTGAATGCTCAACAACCAAATTAAATATTACACATTAATTATTTTGGACTTATGGATAATAATTGCATTCACAGCAAGCCAATAGCTTTAATAATTTAGTGTCGTTAACTTCATATCTCATCGCTATTAAAGACAAAAAATATCAGTTGATTGTTCCAAGTGTTTGCATTATATGCTGAAATAACTTTTTTACTGTTCTCATACTTGATCATTTAGACGAATATTAACTTCACAATCGACGAGGATTTAATTAACTAAGTTGATTAGCTTGTTCAAGTATAGTGAAGAGCTTGAGACTATTCAATTTTCATTTGATTTGAGTTAAAAATAAATATCTTTACAAGAGCTGAAAATCATTATCTATCTGAAACTTATAAGAAAATGAAGAATTTATTTCTAGCAGAGATTTTCTGGAATCAATTTTGAGAATCTGGAAAACTTGATTAGATAAATTTCCTAGCTGAGCGAGTAATGCTTATATCATGAATTTACTTGTTTTTCCGTTGAAAATACTTTGGTTTACCACCGCCTCGACCACCGACCCAAAGCTTGGCTTCACTCCAAGATACAGCATTGATACTGATGTTCACAATTGTGCATAATTTGAATAGTTGACCTGAAGATGTTTCAATGATAATGAAATAGAAATAGTTTGGTTCCGTTTCATTTTCGTGTTCAGTGATAATCAGGTTGAAATTATATTAGGAACGATCCAAATTGACTTCAATGGAAGATTAAATTA